TAACTTCAGGGATACTTATTGCTGTTATAACAGTTTACTTTGATATTTCCATCCTAGCATCTTAAAGAGTTAAGTAGTCCACTTTATAAATCAACTAGAGGCCCAGTGCACAAAATTTGTGTACTTGAGGGGGATCCCTCAGTCTAGCTTATGTCTTCTCACAGTCTGGGAGCCCTCAGCGGATGTCTGACAGAGAGTTTAGGCCTACTCTCCATGGGCCTAAAATCTTTAGCACTGCTATGGAAGTGAGAAAGGCTCCCACCACCACCACTGTGCTCGCCAGCTGTGAGCTCAGCTTCTGGCTGCTGAACAGCACTCCCCCTGTGGGAGCACACTGACCACCAGGGGGGAAGCTCCTGCACTGAGTATCTACCCCCTTGTGGTCAGTGTGTGTCATAGCAACCGGTGGTTCTGCCACCGGTCAATTTGCAGATAAGCCTTTTATTATATAGGATAGTAACATAAAACATTATGAAACCCTACACTACTACTATTCAGGATGGAGATCACACTTCCTTTTCCATCATTTCATTGACAAACATAGAAAGGATATAAAAGGAACTGAGCAGTACAGGTGCAGGTAGGAATCCAGCCTTAAATAGTCTCCTCTCTGTGGGTAGTCTCACATTCATTCATTGAGTGACATGAATGCATAGAAAGCATTCTAAGAATTCTACTTTGGCAGCTATTACTACTTTAAGCAAACCTGCAAAATGATAGAAACTTCCAATCTCAAAGTCAAGTATTGCTCCCCAATTAAAATTACACAGTTTTACAAATTCAAAAAACATGCTCTCCAAACTGCAGGATACCTCTACCCAAGGAAAACGGTGCCTCTCCCTCAGCCCCTCACCCAACCCTGATGAATCATAGCTCAGGTCGTTGCCTATATCCTCAAATTTCCTTTATTAGAAGGAACTAGATGAACTTAAAAGTAATTCACTTTGCACGCTGTTAGCATCATCAACCACAATTGCTGCTTCATCCGCTCAGCCTCCTTTCTGAGGTGCATTTTATGACTTTTCCTGTATCGTTTGCATTGACTTTCTGGGTTTCATAGAGCCTGGAAAGCTTTCCTTGCTGAAATTTGTGAAGCATATTTATGAATTTTATAGCAAGGATTAAAGCACTAATTTACAATCTAAACCGTATAATGATAATTCCAAATGAGCAAGTTTGATCAAGTATTTTAGGAAATTCCAAAAATTGAAATGTGGGGACTTTCTTGCCACTCCTTTGCTTTACAAATAATCAAAATATGTTTCCTCACAAGAAACATATCAAACATTTTTCATTTGTTTTTGGTGGGAGGAAAAGAAAGTAAATCCAAAACTGAAAATTTAAGTTTTCTTTCTTTGTTTTTTTGGAAATAACCAATGGTTCCCCAGTAACAGAAACAGTTTGTTGTAACTTAAACAGGCAAAAACACAACTCCTCTTCAGTTTCACCATTTTTTTCCTTTTCTTTGTGTAAATATCTTGGTGATGCAGCGTCTAGACTTCTTGGAGCAAATAATGGAGTCTGGAATTTATTCTGTGGGTTTGAAAGCAGCTATTCAGGTCTCCTATGTAGATGTGAAAAACTGTTGCTTTCAAAATATGTAAAAATCATCAAACTGTTTACCAGAAAATACCAATTTACCAAATCATGCCAAACTTTGTGCTGCACACTACAGGGAAATATTGTATGAACTTGTTCATTTTATCTATACTTCATTTTAATGTTCCAATCAGTCATATCAAGAAAAAAGTACAAAATAATTTTCACTTATGAAGGAATTATGGCAGACTTTTTCTAGCTTTTGAGAAATATCCATAAAAGAAATTAGTTTCAAGGATGCACATCCATTCTTGTTATAGTTTTAATAAGTAATCCAAAGGGATTCATCCAGTGAAAGGGGCAGTATTTTTTGTTTTGTTTTTTTATGTCCTTGTCCTATGTCACTTGTGATCTGTATCAAATGAAAGCCATGTTGGAAACAGCCAGATCTAAACAATTACTTGTGCATCCTGGATTATTAAGTCTGACTGTACTTTATCTCTTGAGGAAATAAAACTCTGTGCTTGCAACAAAAAATGCAGAGTCATTTGTCACCAATTATGTAAAGCTGAGAATTGATCTTACAGATAGATATAACCATGTCCTGTAAGCACTCCTAAATTTATAAGGCTGCCACTTCTTGAGGCTTTACCCTAGGAAATATTTGTCTACTACAGAAGAGTTTGTTGTGTAAGTTTATCCAGAGATAATAGTTTTACAGGGTATAAAACTCCATAGTGTCAACTTGTTTGAAATAACTGTCTGTTCCTAATTTTCAAACAACGTTCTCAAGCATAGTGGATTGTCCTTTTATTAGTACGCTCTAACTTAGAAAATTATAACTTAAGGGTAGAACATGAGCCACAACAGTATCTACTCTGTGCCTAGATAAAATTACACACACACACACACACACACGCGCGCGCGCATGCACACACACACTCGCACACACACATACACTAGAGGCCTGGCAGGTGATGGGGCCAAATGGCCTGAGGGAGGGGCTATGGAGGTTGGCTATGGGAGCACACTGATCACCAGGGGGCAGCTTCTGCATTGAGTGCCTGCCCACTCATGGTCAGTGCACATCATAGCGACTGGTCCATCAGTTCATTCCAGACGTTCAGTCATAATAGTCTTAATAGTTGTTTAGGATATATATATATATATATATATATATATATATATATATATATATGGAACATTAAAATGAAGTATATTTATTTCTATTTGCTATAAATCTAGGATTTTTGAGATTCAATTAAAGAAACATTTTCCAAAGTATGTTTTTTAGAGCACTAGTTCTAGACAAAATTATTAGGTGCTACAAAAAAAAAAAAGTTTTAGAAGTGCTGGTTCAATCAACTTTAACTAGGCTTCCGTAAAACAATGATTTGTCAAAAGTGTTTTATTACACATCAGTATCAAAGAAAAGAATATAGTGTGCAACGTTGCTGAAGTGCGTTGGAACACAGAGCTTTTTTCTCACTTGAGCCTAACATTCTATGAAAATACATTGTAGGGAAAACCGAATCAAAGGATATTTAAAACCTATATAACACAGTCAAAACACCTGTCTGAAATATCAGGGGACTATATTTATTCCCTGATGTATTCTCTAAAGTGATTTGTTGTTAAAGCAAACACCTGCCACAGGGTTCTAGATGTGAAATGTGACTCCAGAGATCTATACTTATTTTAAAAATGGACAGCAAGCAGATACCTGAATACTTATTAACTTCTTAAGAATACAAGGACAATGAGCTAGATAAAGTAATTCTTAAAACATTATATAAACCCATTATGGGGTTGGTGAAGTTAATATAAATAGTAAGCTTCGAATGATCAATGGCTAAAGGCATGCAAGATTTGTAATTGGAAGTGGAAGGTTTTCTGCTTGTTTCCTTTTATTTAGCCTTGAATGATAACTTATCAATAATCAGGCATTCTGTGTGTTAGAAGATGCAGAGACAAGTGACACTTGGCCCATGCCTTTAGGAGATAATAGTCTGGACAATTTTAATAGGAGAGTGATGAATGCTATGAGATCACAGAGTACAGGACACAGAAATCTCAGATAATTTTCAACTAAAAAGCTAGATGAGTAACATCACCAGGCCTTTTAAACAATCACTCTTGGTCCAAGTTACAAGGCTGTTTAATACATATATGAATTGCACTCAGCTGTTATTAGTGGCAACAAGAATACAAATAGTTTGGTTTGGAGTTGTTTCATTAAAGCTGTCTTTATTTTTAACTAATAGATACAGTAGGGCAGTGCTGAGTTTACAATGAAGATACATTTATTCCAGAATTTCTTTGCTGATATAATTCTCCATAAATATTAAACAACTGATGAGTTAGTCTCCATTCATACATTCCCTTGATTCAGAATCACTTTGCCTCTTGGGTACCAAAAGTACCAAGATACGTAAAGCATACTAATTTATGCCTGGACTTAATTTTGAACTCAACAAATTGAGAAGAATAAATATTCACAGGCTTGTGATTTTTTCATAAACATAATTTATCTAACCTGCATGAATTGAGAAATCTTTTCTTCATTAGAGGATTCTGGTTCTAAAGTTTTGTGATGTCCATCAAGTTTAGGAACTCAGAAATAAAGTTTATTCTATAGAAAATTCCTCTGTCAAAGAGGAGAACTTTGAATTTGCAAGGGAGATGTATGTTAGAAATAGGAATACGGGTCATACTTTCTGTTTAGATGACTATGTAATTTTTCTGGGGCTCCCTATCTTCATGGAAAAAATACATGTTATGTCCAATACCTATGTTACAGAATGTTACAACTTAGTGGGGGGGGGGGGAATGATTTGAATGTTTCATTGTTTATTTGGGTGAAGAAAATTTGGAGAATTCAAGGAGTTGAAAAGGAAATCCTGAAAAGTACAAGAGAATAGGATGGGGAGGGAACAAAGGAGGTTGTAACTATTTTATAAATGTAACAAAAGGATGATATTTGCCAATTCCCAATGTCGCTACATGAGTATTTCTTGCATTGTTCCTCTATTATATTTATTTACACAAGAAATTTTTATTAACGATCTGATTCATTCATTCAACAAATAATTTGTTGAGAGACTATTATATGATAGATGCCAGCAGGAAAATAGAGACAATAAAGAACATCATCCCTGCCCTCATAGAATTTATGTTTTAGATATGAATGTGAAATAATTTGAGATCTGGTATAGACTATTCACAAAGAGGGAGGAAATGGGGTGGTTAAGTTGTACTGAGATTGTGGAGGTGGGCTGCCATAAGTACTGAATCAGTAAGAAGAGGTAATTTTGTGCTGCTAGGAACTGCCTCCTTTTTGTTCAAATAAGAGTTTAATTCTAAGCATGCACTGGCCATGGGCCACATAGCTCATGTGATGTCTACTTTTCTCTTTGGTTGCAATCCCAAGTTCACCTGCCTTTTTCTTTGATTCCCTCTAGTATATGACTGCTGCTGCTCCTATGCAAGGGACCTACATTCCCCAGTACACGCCTGTGCCTCCGTCAGCTGTTTCTATTGAAGTAAGTCTGTCTCTGTCTTATAGAAAGAGGGTCACAGAGATCCATATACTGTGGTCCCTATAGCCCAAGGAGTCCTGATGTGTGGTTTTTGTGCTTCTCTGAAATTTGCAATTTTCCCTCAGGTAACCATCAATCTGTTGTTGGCATCTATGAGTTTATTTATTTTTTAAAATATATTTTATTGATTTTTTTTTACAGAGAGGAAGGGAAAGAGAGAGAGTTAGAAACATCGATGAGAAACATCGATCAGCTACCCCCTGCATACCTCCTACTGGGGAGGTGCCTGCAACCAAGGTACATGCCCTTGACCAGAATTGAACCTGGGACCTTTCAGTCCACAGGCTGATGCTCTATCCACTGAGCCAAACCAGTTAGGGCAAAGAATTTATTTTTATATCCCACATGAGTAAATCATTTGGTTTTTATCCTTTTTTGTCTGACTTTTTTCACTTCATGTAGTACCCTCATGATCCATCCAAGTTGTTAGAGATGGCAATATTTCGTTTTTTTTTCAGTTGAGTAATATTCCATTGTATACATAAGAACATATCTCCTTTAATCCATTTGCTGTGTGACAAGTGTTTGCTGCTATTCATGAGTTTAAGAGGACACTTCATGTAATTTAGGAACCCACATAGACCCAATTTTTAAATCTCTTATGTGTTCCAGACTTGTAAGGCCCCAAAGAATGTGTCAGTTAATATTAAATAGGTTTTAATAGGATTTTCAAAATTTTAAGACCGTGTGATTAAAACACATTTTCCTTGATATATATAGCTGCCATAAAGCATTTAGGACATGATAAAATTATGAATCTGAACATTTAAACATAAATCTGCCACATACTTGCATTTCTCTATCTCAACACTAAAGGTACGTATATGGTTATCTACAGAATTTGAGCAATTTGATGACTACAAAATAATGAGACACATTCAATAGTGTGGCTTATTGAAAACAATGTAATTATAGCTAAATCTATGACTTAAAAAGAAGTTTTTCATGAATATAAATAGAAGTACACTCTGATATATTGCTTTTAGTTTATGTTTATAAGGAAAAGCATTGATTCATTTTCTATGCAAAAACACTCACTGAAAATTCACCAATATCCATACAACTAAATACTGGTGGAAGGTTCAGGAAAACACACACAATACCAAATAGTATTAGGAAGAAAAATATTAAATTAATAAAGGGATACATTTCAGATTTTGAGGACCTCAGGGATCTTTTATGGCAGAGAATTGCCCAAGAACATTTGAAACTCTATATTGCTGCAGGTGTTCAAGGCTCTAAGGGAAACCATGAGAACATATTCAGACAGATGCCTTTTTAGGCCTAATAATTACCTAGTAAAACTACCTATGCCTCTCTGGGAACCAATATGTGTCCTTAAAGAGACCAACTTCAGAAATTCATTCTTGTGGGCATCTGTGGGGATTAAGAGAATGAAAAGGTGAGGAAGGGATCAAATCAAAATTATGGATGTTTGTTTGACTCTTTATCTGAAAACTTTAAATGAATTCCAGGTCTTACTGTGGAAAGCAAAAATCAAATTACTGAAGGGAAACCTCATTGACAGTATTCTTTTTTAAAAATTCCAAACTTTAATGTAGATGTTTATGCAGGTCATAGTCCATTGCTTTGCCAGATCATAGAGACATGGTACAGTGTACTATCCCAATAAAATGCTTGAGTATATAGTTTTTTGTAGAAATTCTGCATGAATTTTTTAATAAATTACTGTTCAATGTGGCTGCATACAAGTATAGTTGAAGAGTTGTAAGTATGAGCAAAACAATTTCTGCCAGTTGACTGCTCCAAGGACATGATGGCATAGCTCCCTCAGCTCTTAGCCACATATGCTCCGTGGTTTTCCTTTGAGTACTTTATCGTAGCTTCCTCACTGAGTCAATTTTCCTCAAGCCAAATGGAAGAGGGATATTCTCTGAAGTCCATCTGTACGAGGGCTCTTTGCTGAAGCCAGTAAGACTCTGTGTTCTTATTTGCCTCCTTAGGGTGTTGTTGCTGATACCTCTCCCCAGACAGTGGCACCTTCATCCCAGGACACCAGTGGTCAGCAGCAACAGATAGCAGTGGACACATCCAACGAACATGCATCTGCATATTCTTACCAACAGTCTAAGTAAGTACGAGCTACACGAAGCTCTTTCCCTCAAGATCGATTATCTTGGCTTTACTCTCTCACATTGCACCTGTTAGCTTTTGCTGCAATACAGACCATCTCACACTTAGTGACAAGCATTTATTTACTTCCTAATTATGTGGGTTGGCAGTTTGAGCTTTAGGTGGATAGTTGACTGAACTTTCTTAAGCATCTGGGAACAGCTGTGAGTCATTTTTGCAGCTCTGATTCTGGGTGTTGGTTGAGTGATAGAAGCAATTGAGCACATATTTTCGATCCTCCAGCAGGCTTCTTCACATGGAAGACACAGAATTTCTAGAACAAGGGAGGAAGCCCAAATGAGAAACATTTTAAAAATATATATTTTTGCTGATTTCAGAGAGGAAGGAAGAGGGAGAGTTAGATATACATATCAAGGATGAATGAGAGAATCATTGCTTGGTTGCCTCCTGCACGCCCCCTACTGGTGATTGAACCCTCAATGTAGGCATATGCCCTGACCAGGAATTGAATAGTGACCTCCTGGTTCACAGGTCAATGCTCAACCACTGAGCCAAATCAGTCAGACATGACCAGTATTTTTCAATTCTGATAGTGATTTATTTGCTGCTGCCCCTTTGGCCAAGTCCTGGGTTCACTACCAAAACACTGGAACTCAGAAAGGAACGTTGCAGCCATTTAAAAAAAAATCTGTCATATATAGTTTGGAAAAACTCTAATATTGAGCTTTTTCAAACTATACATGAAACTAAGTAGTGAGCCTGCATTTTGGTCTCAATTTTCCAATTTACCCAATCAATTATTGCCTACTATGTGACAGGGATATTTAGATGCTAGCGAAAAACCAATGAAAGAGGCAGATGTTCCCTAATTGTTGGAGTTTCTTTTCTATTAGGAGTAGACTCAGAATCAATGGATCAACAAAGAAACAATTTCAATGCAGACTGCTTAAAAAGATTCTTGTGGTATAGAAAGTGACTGCGTAGATGCCTAAGATTTGTATCAGGGATGGTCCTGATATAGACCTCATCTGTAAGATAATTAGAGGCCAATCTTGGAGCACTTTGGAGAAAAAAGCATTCTAGACAGAACCAACAGAAATTCAAAGATCTGGAGTGGGGACCTGATGCTGAAGTGTTGTAGATAAGGCCACAGTGGGGAGAATTGTAGGCGATGAAGTTGAATTTCCATAGCCTTTGTGTCCTTGGATACTTGACTTTGTGCTGAGTAATTATTATTGGTGTTGTGTTGAGTGGGTTAGAAAACCTTTGGAGAGATGTAAGAGAAAGACAGAATTTTGTTTATATTTCAATGGCTCTGTTACCAATGCACCCTGAGTAGAGAGAGAGATGCATTTAAGGATGGATTTCAGGAGAGTTCCCCCTCTTATATTGTCCAGAATCCATTCCCTGTCTGATTAAATCAGCATTAGCTGCCCTTGTCAGCTCATAATGAGATGCTCTTTCTCAGCGTCCTCCCGCCTTTTCATTGTCTGATGTGATGGGGAGGCAAGTGCTGTGCCTCATGGATTCTGGTGAGAGTCTCCCCATCCACCTCCTGTTTCACTTGTAGCATCGTATGCCAGGTGCTATGCTAAGAGACAGGACCTGTACCCTCAAGGATTTACAATCTAGTGTGGGATTTAGACCTACACATAGATAAGATAAATAGACCGCAAGGAAGAAAATGAACAGGGCTCTTTTTTAAAGTAAAATAGGAAGTCATAGAAGAATGCACTTAATTTTTCGTGGTTGTGGCAACTGAAAATGTGTCTTAAAGGAAGGATCAAGGTTATGGGTAGGAAAACTCAGAGCATTTCTTTGAGAAATGGATGCAGAGTAGTATAATAGTGTAAAAAGGCAGATTGGACACAGATTCTCATATCAGGTGCGATACTGAAGTGGTCAAGCAGAATTTTCTTTGCATATCTTTCCAGTTGAGGTAGACAATGGATTTGGAAACAGACAGTCTTATTACTGCAATGGTTCAGACAAAAGGGAACAGAGTTCTGAAGTAGGATGGTGGTAAGTGTAATAATAGTGGGGAGTTGGGAGGTAGAATGAAGTAAAAAAAGATAGGGATCAGAACTTTAAAAGCTCAAGCAATACTGTGGAGTTATTGATGTCACTAACAGAGGCAAATGAGAAAAAAAAATGGGGGGAGGGATGTTTGTGGAGAAAGAGGAGGGATTGAATTATCCTTATAATGAGTCCTTAGAAGCTTATTCCTTGAAATATTTGAGGAAGTCTGAATCTGACCTCATAAAACTAGTGGCACCATGATTATGTGCCTTGAGCCATGAATTCTTAAGGTTGCTAATGCAGAGCTCTCCACAGATAATATCAAGATGAGAAGTCCTCCATCCTTGTCCTCAAGGACGTAAGAATTATGCTAAGGAGTGTCCTCGTTTGAGGGAGTTTTCTTCTGCACTCACGCAGGATCATATGTTACAGAATGTTCCACAGGGAGTGCTCATTGCTACATTATAGATGAAAGCACCCTGGAACATTTCAAATGCGTGATGTGGGAAAACCACTTGCATTACCTTGGGGACATTTCTTTAAACCTGGAGAAAAAAAATTCAACAGGTTCTGTTTAGCACTGTGAAAAGGAGGAAACTGAGAATATACTGTGAGGGTCACCAAAGGAGGAATGCATGAGACTGAAAAGGGTAAATAACTATGAATTTATTAGGTCATCTGGAAAACCATATGGACTGAGACTCAAAATGGTGCCAGCACCCAGGGATGGGGAGTCAGATTGTAAAGGACTGTAAATGGGCTTTTTCTGGGCAGAGAATTATCCAGACAGAGGGGGAGGATAATGGTCTTAGCAAGTGGAATGTGATCTAACTGGAAGGGACTATTCCTTGTGACCTAAAGGTCAATCCCAGGGGAGAGGATATTGATTTAATTATTTGATCAGACCTAACATTCTAGCCTTTTTGTTTTATGGAATAGGGATGAAGGTCATGTCCTCCTTAGTTACTTACTGCTGAGGGGGATGCGAGATCATAGAGGGATGAACTTTGACTGGAGTTGCTGGGACACTGTATAGATGTCTCAAGATTGGAGGGAGGGGGTTGCAGCAGCATGATTTCCCCAAGTTGGTGAAGGCTTGAAAGCGGTCCTGTTGAGTGACTTGGAAGGTAAAAGCTGGTCCTGAGGCTGTCACAGTGTCACTTGTCTTGTTTTGCTCCTTTTCTGGGCCTGGAGCTGAAATACAAACGAGGAAAAGATCAGGGGTCTAAACTGCCCAACTAGTAGTAGGAAAGGGGAGGCTAGGTTACCTGGGGGTCCAGGTTCTTGTTTTCCCCCTTCTAGGCATCCAGAGCTTTCTGCCCTGGTGAGGTTCTGTACCTGGCGGTGAGTACGTTTTAGTATTATTGAAGCAAAAGTTAGAACAATAAGAATTATGACAAATGGTCTGGTGGAAGAAGAGAGACAATGGTTTGGAGGGTTGTAGTCTGATATACCAAAATGAGATTTATTCTCTTACCTTCTTTATTTGTCCTTGGGTGTGGTCGGCAAATGGTCCTAAGGAAACTTCTGCTGTCCCTAAATAGGGTGATTTTAAGCTATTTACCCTTTGGTTAGGGAGGAAAAAAGGCATACCACTTACTCTTAAGTGTCCTGGGTTTAGGGAAGACAGTTAAACAGCGGTTTGCAGCCATCTAGTAAATCCTATCTCAGTTTCCCTCTGCTTGTCCTGGATTCCTGGCCTGTGTATGTATCGATAACTTCCTTTTAACATTTCTCTTTACAAACCTTTTTACAACTTCACCTCACTTTCTTTTCCCCACAAGATGCATGCCCATACCTTCTCTTACTGAAACCATGCAATCTCTTGCCAATTTAATTAGAATTCTTAACTCTTAGAAATTTAATTTTTTTAATAACTGAAAAGTAACCAACCAGCATTTCTTAAATTAACATTTCTGAACACTTTTAAGAAGCATACCTTCAACAAAGCATAAGACATTATGTTAAAAGTTCAAAATCTACTGTATAGATTTTCTTAAAAAAAAAAAAAAGCTAAAATCATGTGAACTTAGATATCTAAGTTTATCATTTAACCCAGAAATGCTCCAAAGCTTTTAAGCTACCAATTAGGCACATGAGGCTGGAGAAAAGGCAGAGGGGGAGCAGGCCCCACAGCCTCTTCTAGGACTATAGCCTCTGGCTGCTTAGATTTAAAACGGACACATTTTTCTCAGACATAACATAACAAGGTTTGGAGGTAATGACTTCTGCTTCTGATAGAAGCAGAACTGCTAATTAAACATTTGCAGTAAAGAAAGTTGTTCTTTGGGAAAGGGGTGTGTGTCTAGTGAGATGCAGTGTAGATGTGAGGTGGCTCATGGCTGTGAGACTAATCCATCAATCCCCGTAAGAGAGACGGAGGAGGGCAGAATAAGGGGCCCCAGTGACATTTAAAAAGGAGATCAGCTTACTTGCCACCACAGTTGTTCCCCAAGGCTCTGTCCTGGTGAGGTAAGTCTGTAGGGCTTTGTCAGGGCCTGGGCAGCTTCTGCAGTGGCCAGTCCCAGAAGGTGGCCTTGCTGGACTGGCTGAGGTCCCACTTGGAGGGGCTGGACTCCAATCTGATTTCAAGTGGCCTTCCCTTCCACACCGTGGGCGGGGGTCTCGTGTTTGGGCAGGACTTGGCACAGTGTCCTTCGTTGTTGCATTTGAAACATGGGCCCGGAGGAGGCTTAGCCCCTGACTGACGTTGGCTGGAGGGCAGGCACTTCGTTTGGGGTTCATGAGAGTGGTGGCTAGGAACTGAAAAACCTCCTCCTGGGCCTCAGCCTGATCTCGCCTTTGTTTTGGGGTCTCCTCGTCTCTATTATTAAAGACCTTTAAGGTCAGGTTAATGAGAGTTTTGAGGGATTTGTGGACCTGTGTCTTTTTTTTTCCTTTTTTTTTTTTTTTTAATATTTTACAGAGAGGAAGAGACAGGGATAGAGAGTTAGAAACATCGATGAGAGAGAATCATTG